GTAAAAATGTAAGCTAAAATGGCCAGAAGAGGAAAAAGTTTTTTGTAGTTGTTGAAAAAATGAAGAGGAAAGAGAAAAGCTGGACTTGTTTCTAACATTATTAATCAATTCACACAGAATTCCTTTTCAGGACACAGACGATAAAGAGCATATCTTTTCATTATTTGGTGTATGTAGACTTGCCCCCAAATCAGCTGGCTTAATTTTGTGTCCCACCGTTAGCCTGATCATCTCACCCATCCCATTCATTGCCAGGTATCAAGTCTAGTCTTGCTCTTTTCATTTATAGGTGTTCATTAGGTAAATGTTTATGAGAACTTATTGCACAAAAGGCCTCTGCCAGGCCACAGGCTCTGTAATAAGCTTTTGTTCACACACATACTATTTTTATCTCTGTCCTTGCTGTTAGCAAGGCTTTAAGAGAGATAAGTGAAGAAATATTTAAAATTGGGTTATGTCCAAATATACTCTGAGACATAAACTAGGGTGATAGCCTCCCTTTCTTTTGTTAATATAAACTGTGTTCATAGGAAACTTGATCTATTCCATCATCTGCTTCATTAAAGAGTGCTAGGAGGCCAGTGAAGGATACAGATGTAGATATTGGGTCACCTGATTTTCTGTTAAGCTTCTGTACTAATTTCAACATCCATCACCATCTTTCCATTAAGCCACTTGTAAAATATTTCAATTTAGAGAGTCAACAATAAACCACTCTGCTGGACAAAAATATGTTTCTTTTTCCATTTCCCATAAAATTAATCTTTAGTTAATGCCTAATTTCAAGTGTTAAGCTATCATGAAGCTATTCCAATAAACTGTAAATTGAAGAAAATTAAGTGTTGTTCTCATTTAACACAAAAGAGTGATTTAAATAATATACAAGATCGTTTCATCTGTATACCTCTATATCACCAGGAAGTATTCATTGGCAAAATATTTGATTGGCTAATAAAGCAATTCCCAGAGAGATCCATGTCACATTTATTCCTCTAGCAGAGAATCACAATTAAGGAGAATTTAGGTTGAAATAAGACCTCTACCAGGTCAGTCCAGTACACTCTCCTGGACTAAAGTAGGATTAATTTCAAACACCTTTGCTTTGTGGAAAATGTAGGCCTATCTATGTGTTTTCTTCAACACACACACCCTAAGAGAGAATAAAACCAATTATATTATTTGTTTCTAATCTAGAGGCAATACTATATTTCAGAAGTATTGTTCTAAAATTGTTAGTAATTAATTTGAGAAAATTGTGGTTTTTCTGTTATCAAAATATTATAGAGCTGCTCAACTTGGATACTAATAGCTGGTGTTAATTAGGCAAAAGTCACAGGTTTGAATGTGGAACACTCAACCAATCAACCATTTAACTCTCATCTGCCTAAAGCAAAAATCCATTATCTGGCAAAATTATGCTTTCATAAAGTGGAAAGGCAGGATGCTGGAAAAATAGCTCAGAAGTTAAACGCACTGGCTGATCTTGCAGAGGACTCAGGTTCAGTTCTCAGGACCTTCATCACAGCTAACAATTCATAACTCGTTTTCAGGGGACCTGACGCCCTCTTCTGGCCTCCAAGGGCATTGAGTGACATGGGTGCCCTTAAGCACATGCAGGGAAAATACACACAAAATCAAAATAAATAAATTTTAAAAATGCAAGTGGAAAGGAATGAAAACTTTGCTCATCAAGAGGAAGACATCACTTGTTGCTATTGCAAAAACAAGTCACAGCATGTAGGTTACTAATGTACCCACTGTCTCATGCTAAAAGTTTGCTGCACACATAGGATATACCATGAAACTGACTTGGCATCATTCAGGCTGGCCATGCCACTTATTAGTTGTGTATGACCCCAGAAACTACTAAGGTTCTTGTGCTACGGTTTCATTTTATATGCATAAAAAGAATTGACAGAACGACCAATCTGGTATTATCTTAAGTAGTACGTAAAATACGTATGCCCGTAAACTGACCACCAGGTACTTAGCACAAGGTAAACTAAATCCCCTAATGCGTCTATTAACCAGACAAGAGCTATTTTAAACTAGTTTAGTCCTCATTAAATGTATTAGTAAAATAGGTCTGGAAGTCATAAATATATGTAGTTCTCTGGTTAGCTATGAAATGTTTGTGTTTTTCTTCATGATAATCACAACCTCATAAGCCTATATTATCTTAATTGTTCTTTAGCTATTATTCATCTGCTGTGATGAATATAGTTCCCTTCAGTGTAGGCATTTACTTTCCAAGGGAAAAGTTTTCTCTAGTCTTTAAGCAACAGGTGACATGGGAAAACTGGTCAGTCTGAAGCACAAGCTTTCACACGTTTCTTTCAACTTCATCTGTACCTGGGAACCAACTGAAAATCTTAAGATATACTGGAACCTTATCTAAACCACCCCCAACCCTCACTCCAGAGGTTCTACTTTAATTGCTTGTGTGTGTGTGTGTGTGTGTGTGTGTGTGTGTGTGTGTGTGTACCCTGGGTGGTAGGACTTTCCAAGTGGATCATTTTAATATTCAGTCAAAGCTGGGAACTACCAAGATAAAAACACACTTAGACTCTGTGAGATCATTCCAAATCACAGCAACCCTTCTGACTGAATAGTGCCCTCTCAAGACCCAAAGGGGAGAATCTTTTCTCTCTTAAATTAAGTTTTAATTACTTATTTGTAAATACAACAGCTAAAAATTGAGACATCGAGATAAGAGAATATTGAGCCAAATTTTAACAATAAATTCCTTAATCCTTTGCAAGTTATTAGTGATGAATTCACAAAAGCCTTACACAAGTCAGCAAAACTAAGTGAACATGCAATTGTAGCATTATTCCAGCAGACTAACGTGGGACTGTTAACCTGCAGACAGGACAAGCTGCACCTTCTTTTCTTCATGCTGTTCTTACCTGTGCTCATGGGGGATCATGGAATTCCAAGGCTGGCACTTGATGCCACTCTTTGTGATCGATACTGTCCCCTTGTAGCTGCCTCCTTTACCAATGATGCAGTTTCTAATATAGTCTATTGAATAACATGGAGAAAAATGTCAGAACTATGTGAAACATATGCTGTATTTACTAGAGAAGAAAAATAAAATTCCAGTCAAGCCTGCAAGTAATTAACTCTTGTAAACTATTCAAATAACATTGAAAGTTCTTGCCTAAAGCTTCTACTAGTGTTTTCAAAATAACACATTTCAGAATAATCCAAAACAAACAGTCAGATATTCATGGTTTAATTCTGAGTATATCATACAGAGGTTATTCTCTGTCCTTAACTTGAATTAGTTTATATACTCAGTTGATCAGGCTATTGTCATTTGTTTGAATAAATATATACATAAGAAAATATTAACAATGAAATGAGCAATTTTCAAAAATCTATTATGAATGCAGAAAATAAGTTTAAGATAAAATAGATTGTCTATCTTCATAAAATTTTGTAGAATGGTGTGTGTGCATGTGTGTGTGTGTGTGTGCGTGTGTGTCTGTATGAAATAATTATATTAGGTTGATTATTATCCTCCATATTTTTCTTAAGATTTCAGATAACTTAGAGGGCAAGAGAATTGTAAGTTCAGGAAATATTAGTTATCAAATAGTAGCATGTTCATTTAGCCATCTAGAGAAAAGATTGAACAAGAATGGACTAATGTTTGATGACAAGCTATACATAATATTTGAAGAAATATTGGAGTAGGAAGAAATCATCTTATTTCCTACCATGATTTGGATTTTATTGAAAAATTCATCAACATGCAAATATCAGCAGGAAGGACCTATGTGGCACCTTTTATTCCATTATGTAACACTTAAGGAGAAGGCAGTTACCTTTGTTTTCATAGAGGTCAAATTCATGGCCGAATCCTTTTTTCACTCCATTTGACATACTATTGAAAGGGAACCAGAGGCATCTTTTCTTTGCTTTATCAAAAACAAAGGCCCTGAAAAAGATAGCTGAATGAAAAGAAGGAATACTACTAGAGAATGGCACATGGTTTACCAAGGAGAATGTATAGAAGCAGATATTATTACATAATAAAAATGTAAGTGACGTGTATCTGTGTGTGTTTGTATGTGTATGTGTTTATTCTTTTTTGACAGACTAAACAAGAAAGAACAAAATGAAGGTTCTATAACTACAGATTCAAGTATCACATCAATATGTGGAAAGCCCTTAAGTTACTCTCCATGGCTTGTACAAAACTAAAGGTTTCAAAAAGGAAAACAGTCAGTATGTACCACAACTGCCTAGATTATTTCTGAAGGCTTTTAATACTTTTCTAAGTGCCCAATAAATCAGAATATTTTGTGTATAATTATATATAAAAGATTATATTTGAGACATCATGATTAGTTCCCAAAGTTTATGTGTATAAATACATTCTAAAATGATATTTCTCCCATACATGATAGTGCATGGCTGTAATTCCATCTATTGAAGGAACTGAAGCAGAAGGATTGCAGTTCAAGGCATGTATGGGCTGCAGAATGAGGTCAAGGCCAGCATGAACAACTTAGTGAAACCCTGCCTCAAAACAAAAAAACTGGGAGTGTGGTCAGTCTGCTCTCCCAGCATGCACAGGGCCTTAGCTTTCATCCCCATAGACAAAATGGCATTCCTTAAGATCTATCAAGCAGAGGTCACCTAGCTCCTGGTGCAGACAGATTTGTCCTGTTCTCAACCTTCTTCAGAGAAGCTTCTTTTCGCAGTGGGCAGTGGCTACTGCAGAGACTCATAACTGTTAAGTACTGAGAATAAGCAACTGCGAGTGTTCATCTCTAAATGGGAAAAATCTCAAAAGAAAGTAAGGAAAAAATGTAAGAGCCAGAGGATGGGGAGAAGTGCTCCGAAGTGCTGGCCTCTGGGCATGACATGGCTCTTGCACACAGGAACTCATAACAACTCTGGTTACCTTTACAAGACTCGCACAGGATCAAGACAGCTAAAAATTCAAGTATGAAGGGAGAAGGGGCTCCTGATGACTCACCCCATGCTGAGGAGAGGCCGAGGGAAAGAGGGCCACTTTTCTCTCGGAAAGGGTGTTAGTAGATTGTCTATCTGAAAGTGAATGGCCCCATACCCATGTGCATATGGTAAGCACTAATAGAATCCAGTGGGCTATTTTAAAAACAAAAAAAGAAGTTGGGAGGGAGAAGTTTTGGAAGGTCTGGGGAGAGTTGGCAGAAGGGCGTAGGGGCTGAATATGACCAAGGTACCTAGTAGACATGTATGAAATTTTCAAGAAAAAAAGATATATTAGGCAAATCACCACCCCTATAAATTATCATAGGAAAGAGAAACCAGAAATCAAATATTAAGAACATTTCATATAATATCTTTGGTAAGTCATGAAATTCTAAAGGGAATGAATGAAAATCTCACTCTAAGGGAAGCTGTTGCTAAGTCAATGTTTCCTAAACAAGTCTGTCTGGATATACATTTAAATTAAAAACTAGCAATACTAGAGAATATGCTTTTGGTAAATGTTTTTAAGGAAAATCACCACTGTGTATCCCCTTCTGCTCCTGCTGATAAATTCTATACTGCTTTGCTCACAATTTACTAAAAATCTTATCTCAAACAAACTGATAAATATAAAAATATGCTTTTTGAAATGTAAGTGATTTCAACCAGAAAAGTGGATGAGTTCCAGCTTCCCAATTCTTTTCTTTCCTTTCATCATAATGACATAGTCTCTCAGAAAAACACTTTTTAATATTATTTTACACTTCCATACAGAGTGTGTTAGGCCATCGTATTTCTTGATTATACTTTTCTACATTTAACTTTAAGGATTTTTATCTTAGCCTTATTTTCAGACTGAAAATTAAAAACCAACAATGAAATGTGCTGCTCCAGTTCCCTTTACCTGACCCTTCATCCCTGAGAGATAAAAGTTAACCTCAACCTGCTCAGTTGCCAAAAGACCATCTCCATAAATCTATACAGCTGAGATGCTAATTGAAAATAATTTTTCCTATTTTATTTTTCCCAATCTCAAGGCTTTTACACAAAAGTCAGACAAAACACAAGTTTTTAGGGATAAGTTTACAAAGCCAATTCCCACTCCTGTTTGTCAGAAAAATCTCCCTGAAAGTGGCAGTTTGGCTATAAAAATAGAAAGAAGATAGTCTTTCCCCTGCCTAAATCTGCAGAAGGCCCTTCTCTGACCATGTCCTTCCCTGCAGACCCACAACCCTTATTTCTCTGAAACAAGAAGGATTAAGTGAGGACTGCTTACCATGAAACCAATAAACTCTGCATTGTCATAAAAGGTTGCTAACCAAATGAAATAAACAAGAATTGAGCGCTTACAGAATTTTATGCAAACATCTCAATTTTTTTCATACTGGAAATAGAATCCAAGACCATGTGCCTGCTAAGCAAGAATCCCACCACTAAGATACAGTCACAAAAACACAGTTTTTTACAGTTATCTATTTATTTTGTATATATTCGTGTGTGCCTGAGTGTAAGTATGTGTACCATGTGCATGCAATGCCTGCAGATGCCAAAAGAAGGCATTGGCTTCCCTGGAACTTTTAGTTACAAGATGTTGTGAACTGCCAAGTATGGATGCTGGGAACAAAGCCCAGGTTCCCTGAAAGAGCTTCAAGTGCATGTAACCACTAAGCCATCTCCCCAGTCCTCCTTATTTTTAAAAAGGGGTAAAATATCAACAGAAAGTAAACTATGGGAGAAAATAGTTATTGAGACTAAAAAGAGATAAATAGATTAGCTAGAATATAGATGATAGATGATAGATAGATAGATAGATAGATAGATAGATAGATAGATAGATAGATAGATGATAGATAGATGATAGATAGATAGATAGACAGACAGACAGACAGACAGACAGATGATAGATAAAGAAAAATCCCAGGTCCAAACATCTGCTCCCTAGATAGATAGATAGATGATAGACAGACAGATAGATACTAATATAGGGTTTAACTCTGTAGCCTAGACTAGACTCAAACAAATGACAATCCTCCTGCATCATCCTCCTATATGATGGGATGTTAAGAATGTGCCACCACAACTGGTTAAAGAAGTATATATTCTGGTCATTTAGGAAATCACTGGGATGAAATTCTCACTTTGCTAGTTCAAAATTATAAACTTTGTCCTCTGACTAACTAATAAGGAATTCTTAATGACACAGGGACTATGAAAAGATAAGAATGTCTCTTTTTGAGGCTGCTCAGACCTCTGAATTTCTCCATCACTTTGCACCGAACCTTCATCATCACTATTCCCTAACTTCTCTTAAACAACCTCTCCTGCTGACACAAATCCCTTTAATGTTTTTTTATCTAATTCTCTCAACACCTTTCATTTAAATCCATAAAGCAATGATATAAGGTGCAGTAAAATTTGGCTAGTGCCCAATTTCTGCCCTGAAAATCCCTCCACTGCTCTTCCATGGGGAGGAGAAAAAAAGATAACCTTGAATAGAATATTTTAGAATGTAAGAGAGATTAAAAGTTAATCCAATCTGATTTTAGCTCAACTTTAATTGCTCATAAAATGAAGGAGAAAATCCATAACCAAAGCCACTGTAGACATAGAATGCAGTTTTCATAGTCTCCCTTGCTCAGTCAATATTTCCAACAACTGAGAGCTGTCTTTTGTTGTAATGAATTAAGACTATATTCTAATTTAATTTAAAGTGAAAATTACAGTGACTATCCAAAAAGAGGAGAAATTTGATTATAATATGCACTGACTATATTTGAAAACTATCCTAAGAATGAAATAAAGTAACTTACTTGCAAGTGAAAGGAAGGCCTTTATTCCTAGTACATCTGTTGGCACACTGGTCTGCTGAGTTCATTTTTTTGGTTTTAATCTTCAGTAATGGATCTTCTTTAATTAGAGTAGTCTTTGCTGACTTTTTAAATTCATGAAGTGTATTTCTTCTTTTCTTCTGTCCCTCTATTAACATAAAAATTAAATAAATCAACATGGAAGTTACACTGTTAAGGCTTATAGAGGGGAAAATATGTCCTTAAGGGTCATCTTCAAAATAATAATATTATCCGGCTACATAGTATACCTCCAAAGATTATGACAGAGTATGAAAATAAGTTGGTAAGAGCAAGAGAGAGGAATATTATAAGCAGGGGAAAACATCTAAAACCACTTATCCTTTCAAATGAAGGATGCATTGAAAAATTAGGACAGAGTTCGCCCCAATGAAATAAATAACCCTAAAGAATAATTATTTAAAAATTAGGACAGAGCTCACCGTAAAGAAATGGCATTCTCCACACAGCATAGAATTGAGTATCAGTGCTTGAAGTGCACCTCATGATGCCTTATAATTAATCTTCCACCATCCTCCACAATTGTTCTTGTGTAAGTTACAGTGCCAATTAGATAAATCCATTCAAAGACGAGACAGTCCTCATAAAAATCTCTGCAATGGACAAATTCTCCTGCATGTCTACATGTTTTCTATTATTCATAGTTTAGTCCTCTTCTCACTTATGACAAAAATATTT